AAATGAAAGTACTTTTTTCTAATTTCATCAGAACGTTAGCAGGTTTTTTTTTTAAATACATCTGTGTTTCTTTTCTGCTTTTCTAGTCATTAACAGCTTCAGTCTGTGGATCCCTATGGCACTGAAGCTGCTAAAACTGTCGCTCACTCCTTGCTAGTTTTAAAACCAAAAGGTTGCATCAGCCAGAGGTGTTTTTTTCCCCTACAACACAGTACCAGAATAAGTCTGCTCCTTCAGTACTGTATACCTAACATTTATTTTAGAGCTTTCAGTTTCATTGCATAGTTTGCTATGTGGTTCACATACTTCCCCAGCCACAACAGAACAAGTTGTAAATGATCTACTGTAAAATACCTTGCCTTTAATTAATCTTTCCTCCACTTATGCCAAACTTCTTGCTGACTTTTTTTCTTTTTGTGGTGAAGCTGCACCTGTTTCTGCATCCCCTCTCCCATCAACTTCCTAAGGCTGCTGAAGCCAGTTAGCAGGAAATAATAGAAACCATGGCTCCACACAGCAGTACTGCCTGCCAGGCAGGGATGAAAGAAGGATCCCTCCTATTTCCATTAAAATATTCATTGGGTGACAATATCAAAAACAGAGATGATCAGTATAATTTTATTTTACAACCACAAACTATAGCATACCAAGTTAATGTAAACTGCGTACTGAGAAGCAGCTTTTAGGTGAACACACACTGGCTCTCGCACTTCAGTATATCACCTGTCAGGCTTGCCCTTCAACTCCTATTTCAGTCTGACAAGGCTGTAAATTCACATTGGCACAATAGGTCAAGAACAGAATCAACAGAATTCAGGGATTCTCCAAACCTATACACGTTCTGTGATAATGTATGGACATTTGTCCTGAAGAATGTTGAATTCAGAGGTCACTGACCTTGTGAAAGTGGATAAAATGAAAAATGCAACCTGATGGAAATATATTTATTCCAATACTGCAGAATGAATATGGGAGTAGAGAGAAGCATAGAAAAGAATTACTCATGTAATTTATTCTAATGATACAGACAAAAATAATTCACACAAGTACATATACAATAGCGGCACAATGGTAGTAAAAAGAAATCTTAATACTGTATACTCTCTCTAAAATTCAGTTTTTTCAACACAAAGAAGAATTCTGCTTTCTTAAGCACCAAAATACTTTTGTCCCTTTTGTAAAATTAATTTTTCCAAAACTTACTTAAAAATTCCTTTTAAAATTTTGTTAACTAAGCACATTTTTAAGAACTAAATGTTCTAACCTTTAATTCTGCCTATTTGGTAATTTTTTTACTTTTCCTCCAGCTTAGAATTTCTCATTTTAATTAAAAAAAATTACA